TTTGAACATACTGAGAGGTAAGCACATATCATCGGTTAGAGACCTGTGTGTGAGAAAATTTGCGAAAAAATCTAAGGGCACCGGTGGGATTCGAATCCACAATTCCCATTCAGTACACGGGTGCATTGCCAATTATACAACCATAGAGGTAACTCTAAGACTAGTAGGTCCCAAAGAAACATGCTCAACTTTTTGGCTCAGCTCTGGTACAATCTTCGGTCCCAAGCTAATCGATTCACCCCTCGAAACATAGGAAAATCCACTAACCCCTCATTTTATCTGTCAAACTTTTATAGCGAATCAAAACAAACATAGTGTAGTACTGGAATTTTGACTAGAATGGGGTACGTAATCGATTTGCTTGGGACCAATAGGCTAGTCAAGTAGTGAGCCAATTTAAAATCGTTAGTTTCGTATTGATTGTTGATACAACCACAAACGAAGTGACAGACGACTTACTGGCGAAGAAATCCATTTAAATAATGTGTTCACTGTAATAGAATTTTCTTGGAAGCTTGTGCCATCATCCACCAGATGGGTTAGTTTTTTTTTGTTTTGATTTGAACAAAGTTGATTTTGTGTACAATGATTCTTTGACAGTGTGCAAAGAGTGCGTATCATTTTGTCGTTTTTTTATGCATTTCAGTTTTGAGTAGAGTGAAAGAGATAGAACCAAAATATTCTAGTACATTTGGTGAAAATGCTAGTTCAATCCAATAGTAGTGTTGCCATGTGGTACAATCCAGTAGTAGTGGTGTTGCCATGTGGTACACTGAAAAATTGCAATAGAAGGTTAGTCACCAAAGTTTTCGAGCCGCTCCGTCTGTCACTTCGTTTGTGATACAACGGTGGACCTATGGTCTACGGATGTATTGGGCTAATGACATTTGAGTTTCGAATCCGTTCCCCACCCTAGTCTTTTTGTGCAAGCGTTCTCGGATACACAACAATCGTCTATTATCGACGATATGTGCTTGTACCGCAACCACTCAGTATCAGTCGAAACTCAAATGTCGGTCAAAAAGGCAACCGATGGAATTCTACGAAGAGATTTCCTGGTGAAACATAAATGCAAAGTTGATTATGAATCCTGGCTAGTAATTTTGTCAAATCAATCTGAAACACTTAACATTCCAATAATAAACAGGCAAATTAGTTCAAATTGTGTACCTGGTAGATGCGAAATCATAAAACAACTGAACAATATCGACGTACATGAAGACAGTGTTATACTTTCTGAAGAAATATGTCCTGGAGTATATTGTGGAGTATATTGACATAAAGTATTAGTTGTGATTTTTTTTTCCACCCGCGTGGTTTTTTTCGCATCATGTGCGACATCTCTCTGGCTTCTTGCGGAAAACAAGCTTGCTCGCTAACTCGTAAACAATATTGCATAAAAGTTCTATAGAATATATAGAAACGTCAAAGTGATCCGATGCCAGCGCTGCGGCGAGTAGTTCGCGGAACTGATAATATTCAAATCAACCGTTAAATGCATGAACGAAGATACACAATGAAGAGTTACGTCTGTTTGTCTGCGCAGATACTACCAACCGTCTTCGAAAGGACCATGGGTTGTCTTTTTTCGGCCCAAAAATAAACCTTTGAAAACTCTCGACATTACGAGAGATTTGCTGCGGAAGTATCCGGGAATCTTGGTACACAAGGAAAGATTCAACAAACTGCGGGTAGAAGCAACGACTTACACACTTAATCTAGCTCGGTAAAATCTCCAACAGCCGATTACCTCGGCATTTACTTTTGCTGATATCTCTGCAAAATATGTGTTTGTTAGCTGAGATCTCAGCAAAATTTTATGTGTTAGCTGAGTCTCGGCAATTGTTTTACCATATCTCAGCAAAATAAATTGCAGAACTACTCGGCTGTTGGAATTTCGGCGAAAAAATTTAAGTGTGTATGATGTGGCAAATAAAATTGCTGAACACGAGCTTTTTAGTGTTGAGTATAACATCTACATCCCTTCTCGAGATGTGGAGATAGAAGGCGTGGTCTCCGACGCAAGTCTGACTGTCGAGGATTTGAAACGTGCCTCGGGAAGTTTTAAAAACTCCACATTCGCTACCGCGCTAGTGAAGATACTGAATGTAAGGCAATTGCATTCAGCATCTTTGCTAGACGGTAAAAAAGTTTATCGGCATTCAGACTCGTTTCGCGTGACTTTCGCAGGTTCGGTTCTCCCAAACTTTTTTAAAATTGATGGTGCTTTTTTTCCGGTGCGGCTGTTTGTACAGAGGGTATACAATTGTACCAACTGCAAAAGGCTGGGACACTCGGCCAGCCATTGCGGCAACAAAACTCGTTGTGGCAAATGTGGTGAAAACCACAAAGAGGATTCTTGCCACAAAGAATCAGTAAAATGCGCTTATTGTGGCGAGAATCCTCACCCCTTGCAGGAGTGCCCGATGTACAAGCAGCACTCCGATAAAGTGCAGCGTTCAATCTCTGGACGTTCCAAGCAGACATATGCTCAAATGGTGAAGGCTGCATCAGCCGTCCAAGATGCAAACCAATTTTCGATTTTGTCAGCTGAAGAATCGGACTCTGACTCATCCGATGAAGGTGATTCTACGGTGGTACACGCACCTTCAAAAATGGACGGATCCTCAAAAAGAAAATGCCCCTCCCCGAAAGTGCGCCGTAAGAAAACAAAAGTCACCTCCAGAAGATTGGCAAATTCCCAGGGTAATGGGGATGAAAAAACGAAACCGAAGGCTCCTGGTGAACCAATCCCTGGATGCAGCAGGAATTTTCCACCATTGCCCAAAAAAGATAAGAAAAATAATAAAGCTGCTCCTCAAACTTCTCAAAAGAAATCCAAGTCCGAACGAGGTTTGCTAGCTTTTTCGGACATTGTGGAGTTCATATTAAATATGTTCAACATACAAGACCCTCTTAGAAGCTTAGTTTCTGCCTTGCTTCCAACATTAGAATCATATCTTAAGCAATTGACTGTTTCATGGCCCCTCCTTGCATCAATCATATCTTTCGATGGATAATTCGTCGAACGAGGTTGAAGATATGATCACTGTGCTACAGTGGAACTGCCGTAGTCTAGTGCCTAAACTAGACTCGTTCAAATGTTTACTTCATAATGCTGATTGTGATATATGTGAAACATGGTGTTGAAGAGTACGACCCCCCGATGCGTCAACCCTGAGCTGGACCACTCTCACTCTCATCCACTTATGATCATCACATCATCACCGAAACAAGGACTGGAACGAAAGAGAAAACATTAGGTACGATTTCACGATCGCTCTTATCAACCGTTGTGGCGTGATAAGAAGGATGGCTGATCGTGAGATATTCTCGCATGGGAGAGGAAAACATCGCAGGATTGTCGGCTGCTGAAGACCTTCGGATGAACTGCCTGGATGTAGGTCATATCAGTATCGCCTAGGTCACGGTGAAGAAAGGGTGCTCGACCCGCACGTCGGAAACTAAATTTTAATGTGTTTAGTATAAGTTCATTTAAGTTAAGAATAAACCCATGTAGTGTCCGTAGAATTAAATGTCGTTGCGTGTAATAAAGTGTAGAGTTTTTTTTTTATAAGTGCCCTTTGCTTCGCATTTTTAAGAGTGGCCGTTCGGTGAAGAAATTCGATGGCGTTTAAGTTCTGCTACCACGATTGAATGTGGACTATGCATGCCTACTTCCCCTTGTTCGTCGGAAGTCACCTCTACTGCTCGATGTTGGTTTGGCTGCCTCGCTCAACGCCGCTATTGAAGGATAAGGCGAACCGGTAAGCAAGCAGGAACCACACATTTTGGTTCTTCGAGCCGGATGGTGGACCATCTGCGTGCTCTGGAATACTCCGTCGGCACTGGGTCGACGCTGGTTTCGGCCATCGCTTTCGAACGCCATTGCATCACCACACACTACACCATCAGAGGTCACCGCACTCTGCAACAATTGCATGGGAGCCATCGCACTTTGCACAAAGCCTGATCGCTTGGGATTTAGAGTCGCATGGACTGGAGCGCCATCGCGGTTTCTTAGGCTCGATTTGGCTTGGGACAGCCATTTGGAATTGAATTACTGGAAACGAGTTTTGCATGCAACGAAATTGATAGGCCACTGCATGATAGTCAAACCACGGACGGTCTGTGCTGACGAATACCCGGAATTGGAAATCGTTTTTGGATCGCTGGACTGGCGCAACGCATTCTTGCTCAGGTAAGCTAAGATAGTGCAGTATATGTCCGGTCGAATCGGACCCTACAACATACTAACGCAATTTTTCGACGTGTTTTCTGGACCTGCGATCATCAACCGACGGCAAGGGAAGCCGTCCTCCCAACCACACATCGGAGCCTACGAAGTACTGGTTTTTCGTCTACCGATTACCTGGAACGGCAAGTTTCACCAGTAGCCACTGTGGTATCAGTGGGGTTGCATCCATTCATCAAGCCATCACGATAGGACTCGTATAGCAACTCAACTGCGTCGGCATTTTAGAACGAAGAGGCGGTATCATCATTAGTTTTCTCGGGTGAGTGACTGTGTACTGCCGAAGCTAGAAATAGATAAATACACAATTTTGAATGGAACCTATCCTCTTCACTTTTCCATCCACTTGCTGAGCCCTGAAAGATCGTTGAACGATCTATTTGCGAATCATTTACGTTTTGGTTTTGGATATTCGGACTTAACCGGGATTGTACTGCTGTTGGTTATACGAGTAAGTTGCCTCAGTATATGCCCGGCCGAAGCCAACTTATTCGGTTACTACACCATATTCTCTCTCCTCGCTTGCATCTCCGCTTCGCCGCCTGAGTTATTGCTGCATTTCGGTGAATTGTGTGACGTCATACGACTTGTTTGGGTTGATCATCTTTACTCGATTGAACTGGAGCACCACTATTCGTTTTCTCGGGTAAATTAATGCAGTATATGCCTAAGCGAAGCTAGGTCAACTCGCAGCATACTACACAACGCTTCTCTCTTTGGTTCCCGATTATCGTGACATATTACCATGCTACCTACCGCTACCAAGAAGCCACCGTCGATGAGGGCATTGACGGCTCGTTTGAAGGAAATCAACCTGTCCTTCAACGATATTTTGCGGTTTGTGCAAACGTTTAGAGAAACCAACACCGCTACTGAGGTTGAGGTACGCCTGGGTAAGTTGGATCAACTTTGGGAAAGTTACAGTGAAGTCTTAGTGGAAATCTTCGCCCACGATGACTACAAACCGGAAAGTGCCACGCTAGAGAAGGAGCGTACGGAGTTCAGCGATCGCTACTATGAAGCGAAGTCGTTTTTAATGGACAAAGCCAAGGATTTCCAAGGAGCACAGGAATTGGAACAGTCCATGCGAACAAGTGATGCTTCGGTGCACGGATCCGTTGATCACGTTCGTCTGCCACAGATCAAACTGCAAACTTTCAATGGTGACATCGATGAATGGCTTAGCTTCCGTGATTTATATACGTCACTCATCCATTGGAAGGTGGATCTACCAGATGTGGAAAAGTTCCACTACCTTAAAGGGTGTCTGCAAGGGGAACCAAGGAACCTGATCGATTCTCTACCGATCACGAAGGCCAACTACCAGGTGGCCTGGGAATCATTATTGCGCCGGTACAATAACAGCAAGCACTTGAAAAAGCGGCAGGTACAGTCGTTGTTTAAGCTGCCTACGCTCTCCAAAGAATCTGGAACTGAACTGCACACTCTTGTGGAAGGCTTTGAGAGGATAGTGCAGACTCTCGATCAGATTATCCAGCCAGCCGATTATAAGGATCTTCTGCTGCTGAATATCCTTACTGCTCGACTGGACCCTGTTACAGGGGGTGGGAGGAGCTATCTGCAACGAAGGAGCAAGATTTGCTAGCGGATCGGACTGAATTTCTGCATCGTAGAATCCAGGTATTGGACTGTCTACCATCGAGGTCTGTTAACACTAGGGGTGTTCGTCAGACACAATCACAACAGAAGCAGAAATCATCATCGGTGAAGGCCAGCTATGGTTCAACCCAAACGTCTGGGGGACGCTGCGTGGTCTGCTCAACAAATCATCCGCTTTATCAGTGCAATGCTTTCCAACGGCTGGAGGTTTCAGACAGAGATGCTCTTCTGAAGACACACTCGCTCTGCCGGAATTGTTTCAAGGCCGGACACTTGGCTAGGGAATGCCAATCCAAATATTCTTGTCGGCACTGTAAGGGTCGCCACCACTCACTGGTGTGTTTCAACCCAAAAGGAGATGGTGATAAACGGGTATGGGCTGCTGCTGGATGCAACAAACCTATTCCTCCTGAAGATCCATCGAAATCTCGTTCCATCCAAGTAGCTAGCATGACAGCTACGAATGCATTGGTGTCTGGTACGGTCCACCAGCATGCATCACAGGTACTGTTGGCAACGGCTGTCGTTATAATTGAGGATGACAATGGCTGTCGCCATCACGCTCGCGCTCTTCTGGACTCAGGGTCGGAGAGCAATTTTATCACTGAGCGATTGAGTCAGCTGATGAAGGTAACTCGCGACCGAGTGGATATATCGGTGCTCGGGATCGGACAAGCGACCATCAAGGTCAAACAAACGGTACACGCATTGGTGCGCTCACGAGTGTCTCAGTTCTCACGTGAACTAGACTTTCTGGTTCTCCCGAAGGTGACGGTGAACCTGCCAACAATCAGAGTGGATACGAATGGATGGTCGCTTCCAAGCGGAATTAAACTGGCTGATCCCGCATTTTTCGAACCGAACGCAGTGGATCTCGTTCTCGGTATCGAACACTTTTTCGATTTCTTCGAAACTGATCGAAGAATGTCCCTGGGAGAAGGTAATCCAGCTCTCCATGAGTCCGTATTTGGATGGATAGTAAGCGGTGGTGTCTCTGTTCCATCTCGCTCTCTCCAAATCACATGCAATGTATCGACGCTGGATGAGTTAGATGCATTGATCTCTCGTTTCTGGTCCTGTGAGGAGGTTGAGTCAGGCAAGGCTCACTCGCCGGAGGAAACGCGTGTGAAGACATCTTTGTCAGCACAGTACAACGAGGTTCGGACGGTCGGTACACCGTCTCACTACCGATGAATGAAGACGCCGTCTCACGATTGGGCGAGTCAAGGGACATCGCATACCGGCGTCTCCAAGGAACGGAACGCAGACTGGCTAAGGATTCATCGCTTCGGGAACAATACAATGCGTTTATGGAGGACTACATCAAGCTCGGTCACATGCGTGAGGTGGTTGAAACGGATACGGAGTTGGACAAACGGTGCTTCCTCCCACACCATCCAGTCATCAAGGAGGCAAGTACCACCACCAAGGTGAGGGTGGTTTTCGACGCGTCGTGCAAGACATCCAACGGAGTATCACTCAACGACGTGCTAATGACAAGGGCAGTCATTCAGGAGGACCTTCGATCCATTACACTCCGCAGTCGGACAAAACAAATCATGCTTGTGTCGGACGATGAGAAAATGTTCAGACAAATTCTTGTTCACCTACTGGAACGTGCATTGCAGTGCATTCTGTGGCGCTTTTCACCTGCGGAATGTGTTCATCTGTACGAGCTTAACACCGTGACATATGGTACTAAATCGGCACCTTTCCTGGCGACAAGAACGCTCAAACAGCTAGCCTTGGATGAAGAGGCACAATATCCACTCGCAGCGAGAGCGGTTCTCGATGACACCTACATGGACGATGTCATTACAGGGGCGGACGGCGAAGAAACAGCAACCACATTGCGGGTACAGCTAAACACAATGATGTCAAGTGGTGGATTCAAGCTGCGGAAATGGGCTTCGAATTGCCCAGCGGTGCTGGAAGGCATTCCGGAGGAAGACCTGGCGATTCGGTCGTCAGAAGGGATTATTTTGGATCCAGATCCCTCAATCAAAACACTGGGGCTAACTTGGATGCTAGTCTCCGATACTCTCAAGTACCAGTTTTCAGTTCCTAGTCTGAACCCTGATACACCGCTCACTAAACGATACGTGCTGTCAGTAATTGCCACACTGTTTGACCCTCTGGGGCTGTTGGGAGCTGCCATAACATCGGCCAAGATATTTATGCAACAGTTATGGGCATTACGTGACGGACAAGGTCAAAGGCTTGATTGGGACCAGTCGCTACCATCGACGGTGGGTGAGCCCTGGAGAAAATTCCACGAACAGCTACCACTGTTCAATGAAATACGCATTGACCGTTGTGTCATCACTTCGAATGCTGTCTCGACGGAGATCCACTGTTTCTCGGATGCCTCGGAGAAGGCGTATGGAGCATGTCTGTACATGAGGAGTCAGAATGTCAACGGAGAAGTGAAAATTCGTCTTCTTACCTCCAAATCAAGGGTAGCGCCATTGAAATGTCAAACAATTCCCCGACTGGAATTGTGCGGGGCGCTCCTTGCGTCTGAGCTCTTTGAAAAGGTTGCACAATCGATTCGGTTCAAGGGAAAGTCGTTTTTCTGGACAGATTCCACCTGCGTTCTGCGTTGGATAGAAGCTCCTCCAATGACTTGGACCACCTTCGTTGCAAACAGAGTTTCAAAAATACAGTCCATTATCCAGGAATCTCAATGGCGACACGTTCCAGGAATTCAAAATCCCGCAGATCTTATGTCCAGAGGGATTTCACCGGAAGATATCGTGAACAATTCGTTCTGGTGGCAAGGACCGAGCTGGCTAGAGGAAGAAGAAGGTCAATGGCCAAGCCTGCCACATAATTCACCAACTGGAGAAGGAGATGAAGAAAAAAGGCGGACTGTAGTTGCTGCACCAGCTTATGTATTCGCCGAATTCAACCAAACGTACTTCAGCAAGTTCTCGTCCTACACAGATCTTGCTCGTTGTACAGCATATTGGCTGCGTTATATGAAGCTTATACGAACACCGCGAATGGAGAGGAATTACCCAGCGTACCTGTCGTCGGCAGAGCTGAAGGAGGCGGAAAACACCCTGGTCCGCTTGGTACAGAAGGAAGTTTTCGAGACAGAATGGAAGGCGTTGTCCAAAGGGGAGGCAGTTGCTAGAGGATCGGCGTTGCGGTGGTTCAATCCATTCATATCGACGGATCAACTAATTCGGCTTGGCGGCCGTTTGAAGAATTCCATGGAAACGGAAAAAACCAAGCATCCGGTTGTACTGCCAGCACGGCATCTATTCACTCACACTACCCTACCACGAGCGACTGCTACACGCTGGACCACAACTGCTGTTGAGTGTTGTAAGACTTCGCTTCTGGCCATTAGGAGGAAGGAGTGTGGTGAGGAACATAATCCACAGATGTCAGACGTGCTTCCGCTCGAAACCATCGTCAGTCCAACAACAGATGGGGGATCTACCATCGTCACGAGTCACGGTATCTCGACCCTTTTCACGGACGGGTGTGGACTACTTTGGTCCAATCTACGTAAGGCTCGCTCCAAGGCGTCCGGCAGTCAAAGCCTATGTAGCGATTTTCATTTGTATGTGTACCAAGGCCGTGCACATGGAACTTGTCTCGGATTTGTCAACCGACAGATTTCTTCAGGCACTGAGACGGTTTATCGCCAGGCGAGGGCGGTGTACCGATATTTTCTCCGACAATGGCACCAACTTTGTCGGTGCACGGAATAAGTTGCAGGACTTCCTCAAGTTGCTCAAGAACAATGAACACAGTGAAGTTGTCACCAGGGAATTAGCCAAGGAAGGAATACAGTGGCACTTCAACCCTCCGAGCGCGCCACACTTCGGTGGCCTATGGGAGGCTGCAGTTCGGTCGGCTAAAACCCATTTACTGAAGGTCGTAGGAGAAGCACCAGTATCCCCGGAAGACATGAGTACACTGCTCACTCAAGTTGAAGCATGCCTCAACTCTCGCCCTCTCACTCCCATGTCAGATGATCCGAATGATCTACAGCCGTTAACGCCTGCTCACTTTCTGGTTGGAGAATCACTGCAAGCGTTTCCCGAGTCAGACTTTACGGACGTTCCTCTCAATCGACTTAATCAATGGCAGCTGACCCAGCGAAGGCTGCAAGACTTCTGGAAGCGCTGGCGAAGAGAGTACTTGTGCCAGCTTCAAGGACGAGCAAAACGATGGAAACCAGCTGTTCCCATCGATATCGGAACGCTAGTCATCATTAGAGATGAGAATCAACCTCCTATGCACTGGAAGATGGGGCGGATAGTCAAGGTACACCCCAGTGAAGACGGAATCGTAAGAGTGGTCACCTTGAAAACCGCTACAGGACTACTAATTCGTCCGGTGGAGAAAATTTGTCTTCTACCGATCCAGGACGACAACGATGATCCAGAGTCAACAATCCAGAGCAAATGAACATCCTTCCTATCCCTATCCCGCGAAGAGGTTTTTTTTCTTTTTTATTTGCAGAAATTTCAGAACTTTCTGGGTGGGTGAGGATGTTGAAGAGTACGACCCCCCGAAGCGTCAACCCTGAGCTGGACCACTCTCACTCTCATCCACTTATGATCATCACATCATCACCGAAACAAGGACTGGAACGAAAGAGAAAACATTAGGTACGATTTCACGATCGCTCTTATCAACCGTTGTGGCGTGATAAAAAGGATGGCTGATCGTGAGATATTCTCGCATGGGAGAGGAAAACATCGCAGGATTGTCGGCTGCTGAAGACCTTCGGATGAACTGCCTGGATGTAGGTCATATCAGTATCGCCTAGGTCACGGTGAAGAAAGGGTGCTCGACCCGCACGTCGGAAACCAAATTTTAATGTGTTTAGTATAAGTTCATTTAAGTTAAGAATAAACCCATGTAGTGTCCGTAGAATTAAATGTCGTTGTTGCGTGTAATAAAGTGTAGAGTTTTTTATAAGTGCCCTTTGCTTCGCATTTTTAAGAGTGGCCGTTCGGTGAAGAAATTCGATGGCGTTTAAGTTCTGCTACCACGATTGAATGTGGACTATGCATGCCTACTTCCCCTTGTTCGTCGGAAGTCACCTCTACTGCTCGATGTTGGTTTGGCTGCCTCGCTCAACACCGCTATTGAAGGATAAGGCGAACCGGTAAGCAAGCAGGAACCACACACATGGTTTTCTTCCGATAAAGAACTCAAATTCCACGATTTTAACATTATACGCCTGCATAGAGACGATTTTTATGGAGGAGTACTTTTAGGGATCAAAAAGTGCTACCCTTTCTACAAAACTTCCCTTCCTGCTCTTATCAGGCGTCGAAATCGTCGCTTGCCAAATAAATGTGAAGAACAAAGACCTTTGCATAGCTTCAGTTTATGTTCCACCAAGAACCTCCATTAGCCGTAGTCAACTCTGGAATCTAGTTTCGAATTTTCCATCCCCAGTATTAATTCTGGGTGATATGAACTCCCATGGTACTGGGTGGGGCGATCTATATGATGACAATAGAGCGGCTATTTTTTACGATTTATGCGACGATTCAAACTTGACTATTTTGAACACTGGTGAAGCGACACGTATAGCAAAACCTCCGGCTCGAGAAAGCCGACTCGACCTATCTTTGTGTCAAGATTGCTATCATTGGATTGTCTGTGGAAGGTTATCAATGATTCCCATGGTAGCGATCATTTGCCAATCATCATTTCAATTAAGTGTGCCCCTCACTCTGCAGAACCATCTCTAGTTCCATTTGATCTTACAAAGAATATAGATTGGCATAAATATACAACGGCGGTGACAATCGCTGCCGAATCAATAGATACGCTTCCACCATTGGAAGAATATCGATTCCTCGCCGATTTGATTTACAAAAGTTCACTAGAAGCACAAAAAAGAAAAGTTCCAAGTGCGCCCTTCAAAAGGAGACCAGCCACACCTGGATAGGACGAAGAATGCACAAAATTGTATGTAGAAAAATCTGATGCTTTCAAAGCTTTTCGTAAACACAAAACCTCCACACACACTTAGAAAAAATTACCGACTTCGGTAATTCATTTACGGAATTCTCAACAGCTGATCGGTCGGTAATGTGTTCGGTAATCGAGAACATTACCGAAAAATCTGTAAACTGAATCAGCAAAATTAGCTGTCAAATTTACCGAACGATCGGTAACGTTTACCGAAAAAACAAGCTTGATTTGTAATTGATTTTACCGGAGAACTGTAATTTTGGAGTCGATATGGAAAATGAAAACTACCGAAAGATCTGTAATTTTTTTTAAAAGTCTACCGACTTAAATTTAATTCGCTTTTATATTGTTTCAAAGTGTTTTTTCGGGTTTTATCAATTATACAAATTAAATACAAATACTCAGATGAATAGTTTTTTTTGAGTTCATTCAATGATGTCTCTGTTTCACGGGTAGAACTTGCTTCATCGCATTGAGTTGGCATTTCATGACCGATGAAAAGGGCTTCCCCGAGTGGATCGTTTCCCTTCGTGGTACTTCCGGCTGGAACAAAGCTTTTTCAAGTGGATGCTTTTCAATGATTTGGCGTTTTAAAGAATAGAATTTTCTATATCTTGCATCACATTTTTGATATGTACAAGTACAATCAAAAATTGTGTTTGCCGGTATAAAATCTTTCTTTTTTATGTGGTCATTGATGAAAAACAAGCAACAGCATCGGCCATCTGTAACAATGGGTATTTATTTAGATAACGAAATATCATTACTTACGGAAAATATCTACGATTCGCTCATCTTGGTGTTGCAGCTGGCTCATAACAGCCTCCATAATTGAACTTTTTATTTTTCACAAGTTTCCACTTACAATTTTTTTTTAAGAAGGTCGGAAATCACAAAACTACCGAACTCGGTAATGGAACGGTTTGTTTACCGAAACTTCAGTAAAATATTTCACCGAAGTCAGTGATGAAGCTGATTTACAGATCTAGCGGTAATTTTTTTTACCGTTTTCGTTGAATTGAAATGAAATCACCGAAATTCGGTAATTTTATTTACAGTTTTCAGCAATAGAGCGAGAAAATAACGAAACATCTGTAATTTTTAGGATTACCGATCGAAGACGGTAATTTTTTTTGCCGAACTCAGGGTCTCTGTTTAAGTGTGCATACTTCGAGGAATATTTAAAGCTTGAAACAAAGCTGAAACAATTAATCAAAGCAAAAAAACGCGGTTATTGGCGCAATTTCGTCGAGGGACTCTCACGAGAAACCTCAATGACCACCTTGTGGAGGGTGGCTCGAAACATGCGTAACCGCACATCTTCTAATGAGAGTGAAGAATACTCCAACCGATGGATATTCGATTTCGCTAAAAAGGTCTGTCCGGACTCAGCTTCAGCACAACACATTCTTCGAGAAGCGTTTCCGATCGGCAGCTCGCTGGATAGACCATTCACAATGCTGGAATTCTCTATGGCTCTTCTTTCATCGAACAAGTCCTCACCGGGAAGCGATATGATTAAATTCAATCTTCTGAAAAATCTCCCAGGTATCGCTAAAAGACGCTTGCTAGACTTATTCAATTCCTTACTAGAAAACAACATTATACCGCCTGAATGGAGACAGGTCAAAGTAATAGCCATGCGAAAACCTGGCAAACCAGCGTCTGACCATAACTCATACCGCCCGATTGCGATGCTTTCGTGCATTAGGAAATTGTTGGAGAAAATGATCCTTCGGAGACTCGATCAGTGGGTCGAAACAAATAACTTGCTATCAAATACACAGTTTGGGTTCCGCAAGAGCAAAGGAACAAACGATTGTCTAGCGCTGCTTTCCACAGATATTCAACTGGCCTTTGTGCACAAGGAGCAATTGGCTTCAGTATTCTTGGACATTAAGGAGGCTTTTGATTCAGTTTCCATTGAAATTCTGTCAGACAATCTGCACAGATGTGGACTTTCCGGAATTTTAAATAATTGCTTGTACAATTTGTTGTCAGAAAAGCAAATGAACTTTTCCCTTGGACAACTGACAACTTCCAGAATTAGTACATGGGCCTGCCCCAAGGCTCATGTCTCAGCCCTCTTCTTTATAACTTTTATGTCAAAGATATCAACAACTGTTTGGCAGAACAATGCACGCTAAGACAACTTGCAGATGACGGTGTGGTTTCCGTAAGAGGTCCACATGCCGTGGACTTGCAAGGACCATTGCAAAGTTCCTTAGATAACTTGTCTTCTTGGGCTAGGAATATAGGGATCGAATTCTCGCCGCAGAAAACTGAACTGGTAAGGCCCACGCACATTAGATCCGGATCGGACGCGTTGCGGCAAAGTGACAGCTAAATCTATTGTCTAACTGTCAAATTTACGTCAACGCAACGCAAACGAATCTAATGTGGGTGGTTCTGTAGTGTTTACTCGAAAGCGGTACCCAGCCCAAATGCATCTTAATCTTTTGGGCAGAAACATTACTCAATCATTGTCTTTCAAGTACCTTGGGGTCTGGTTTGATTCAAAGTGCACTTGGAATACCCATATTACGTATTTGAAGCAAAAATGTCAGCAGAGGATCAACTTTCTCCGTTCAATTTGCGGCACATGGTGGGGTTCTCATCCGGGAGACCTCATAACGCTTTATAAAACAACTATTCTCTCTGTTCTAGAGTACGGCTCTTTCTGCTTTCTCTCGGCAAGAAAATGTCACCTAATAAAATTGGAACGAATTCAATATCGTTGTCTGCGTATTGCTCTTGGCTGTATGCACTCAACGCATAACATGAGTCTCGAGGTTCTGGCAGGAGTAACACCCCTCCAGAACCGTTTCTGGGAGCTCTCTCTCAGAATACTAATCAAATGCGGAGTGACGAACACACTTATAATTGAAAATTTTGAAGAAATTCTTGGGCTGAACACACAATCTCGAATCTACCACCACTACATATCGTCGGATATGTGTCTTCCTTGTTATACTCCAGACCGTGCTCACTTCACCAATCGCAGTTCCTCAATTGAATATGATCTGTCCATGAAACTAGTGATTAAAAGGATTCCAGATCATCTTCGAACTATTATTATCCCGCGTATTTTTACTGAAAAGTACCAACACGTCAATTGCGTGAACAGATATTCTACAGACGGGTCTCGTCTCAGTGGATCCACTGGCTTCGGTGTCTTCAATGAAAACTCTAGCGCCTTCCGCAAACTCCAGGAACCTTGTTCCGTTTTTGTTGCTGAGCTGGCAGCAATCAACTTCGCATTGGGGATGATTTCCAACATGCCCGCAGACCATCACTTCATCTTCTCGGATAGTCTCAGTTCGATTGAGGCTATTCGGTCGATGAAACCAAGTAGGCACTCATCTTATTTCCTTTCAAAGGTAAGGGAGCAGATGAGTGTACTGGTCGAAAGATCATATATGATTACCTTTGTATGGGTCCCCTCACATTGCTCAATCCCAGGCAATGAGAAG